CCAACCCACCCTCTAACAACACCTTCTCCAGCGAACTCCATCTTCCTACACAGCCCCTCCTGGTGTCCTACCCTCCCTCAACCTGTGGCTCAGTGGTTCGCACTGTTGCCTCACAGCACCAGGGACCTGGGTTTGATTCCACTGTCTGTGTAGAGTTTGCACATTCTCCCCATGTCTGCGTGGGTTTCCTCCGGGTGCTCTGGTTTCCTCCCACAGTCCAAAGATGTGCAGGATGGGTGGATTGGCCATGCTAAATTGCCCATTGTGTTCAGGGATGTGTAGATTAGGTGTGTTATAGAGGCTTGGGTCTGGGTGGGATGCTCGGAGGGTCAGTGTGGACTTGTTGGGCCGAAGGGCCTATTTCCACACTGTAGGGATTCTGTGAACATCGACCACTTGGACCTCTCCATCCCCGATTTGTCCCTCTTCCACAACTACACTGGCACCATCCCTTACCTTTTCCTCTGCTATATTGATGACTGCATCGATGCCGCCTCATGCTCCCACTAGGAGCTTGAGCAGTTCATCAACTTCGCCACACCTTCTATCCAGCCCTCAAATTCACTTGGACAATTCCTGACACCTCCCTCCCCCCCCAACACCGGACCTCTCCGTCTCCATCTCCGGTAACCGACTCACCAATGACATCCATTTCAAACCCACTGACTCCTACAACTACCTCGACTGCATCTCCTCTCACCCACCCTTCTGCAAAAAATGCTATCCCATGCTCCCAATTCCTCTGCCGCATCTGCTCCCAGGATAAGGTGTTCAACTCCAGGACATCCTAGATATCCTCCTACTTCAAGGACTGCAACTTCCCCTCCTCTAATTAAGGATGCCCTCAACCACATCTCCATTGCTCACACTTCTGCCCTCAAACCCCCTCCCCCAACAACAATAAGGATAGACATTTTGCCCTCCCCACCCTTATCTGCTTTCCGAAGGGGCCGCTCTCTGTGACTCCCTTGTCCGCTCCACACTCCCCACTTGCCCCACCACCCCTGACACTTTTCCCTGCAACCGCAGGAAGTGCTACACCTGCCACTACACCTCCCCCCTCACCCCCATCCCCCCCATCCCAGGCCCCAAGAAAATCTTCCACATTAAACAGATGTTCACCTGCACATCTGCTAATGTGGTATATTGTATCTGCTGTTCCCGATGTGGCCTCCTCTACATTGGGGAAACCAAGCGGAGGCTTGGAGACCGCTTTGAGTAACACCTGCACCTCTCAGTCACGAACCACTTCAACTCCCCCTTCCACTCCCACTCCTACTCCTTGGACAACATGTCCATCCTGGGCCTCCTCCAGTGCCACAACGATGCCACCAGAAGGTTGCAGGAACAGCACCTCATATTTTGCTTGGAAACCCTGCAGCCCAACGGTATCAATGTGGACTTCACAAGCTTCAAAATCTCCCCACCCCCGACCTCATCCCAAAACCAGCCCAGCTCGTTCCCACCTCCTTGACCTGTCTGTGTTTTCTCCCACCTATCCGCTCCTCTCACCTCAACCTCAACCCCCACCCCCACCTCCTACCTACCAGCCTCATCCCCGCCTCCTTGACTGACCAAACCCCATCCTAACTCCCCACCTACACTCACCTTTACTGGCTCCAACCCCGCCTCCTTGACCTGTCTGTCTCCTCTCCACCTATCTGCTCCTTTAGCCACCTTCCATCGACCTCCCCCTCTCTCTCTATTTATTTCAGAATCCCCTTCACCTCCCCCAATTCTGAAGAAGGGTCCAGACCCGAAACGTCAGCTTTCCTGCTCCTCTGATGCTGCTTGGCCTGCTGTGTTCATCCAGCTCTACACCTTGTTATCTCAGACTCTCCAGCATCGGCAGTTCCTACTATCTCCTTATCAAGGATAGAATCCCCTTAGTTTTCTGGCTATAGAATCTGGCTTCCAGCATCTGCAGTCCTTCTTGTCACCAACCCTCTGCTGGAACCCTCACTGATTCTCTACTCCCTATGCTGGGTTCACTGATGTTTATTTGCATTAACCCCAATTGAACTACCCAGTGCTGCTCAATGATCGAACACAAGAACTAAATAAATGGCTAGAATATTTGCATTTAATCATTTCCAGTTGGATTTTAAGAGTTTAATCTTAAGAAAAGGATTAATATAATTGCAGGATTGTTTTAATAACATAAATGAGACAGGAAGATTTACTATAATTTTCCCTCTGTACTTTCATAGGCCTTTTTGAATAGTTGGTCCTCTCTTAACTGATAGAGACTGTATCATAATAGCGACCAGTAAAGCATCATGTTGTAATTGTTAGAAAAATTCCAGCTTCTGCTTATATTTTCCCTTATGATCAGATACAGTCTTCTGATTACTGATTGAATGCTATGTCAAATTTAAATGGCTTGAACAATTCAATTTTCAATCATTTAAAAGCTGTCTGTTCCTTCTCTTTCAGGCTTAAATTCATTTGCCTTTCTCCCCATTCCCCCCTTCCTTGAATGGACAGAAATCCCTTTTTATAGCTGTAAATGCTGAATGTGATTAGAAATGTAGAAAAGCTTATAGCACATTCAGCCTATCACATCCGTGCAGAAATCATTCTAATGATTACTTTTGCTGTTTCATTTCTGATTGTGGTTCAGGGCCTCCTATTTAAGGAACTAAATCAAACATTTCCAATTACAAATTTCATAATTCTCTTTTAAATAACACTTTTCATATTAAAAGCTTAAATTCAAATGCAATATCATCCAATCAGCTTTACAAAACTAATTGTCTACTGTGATGAAGATTTGTACTTTAGTTTTATTGTTATCGTTTGGAAATTTTAGATTCTGAAGTAGAGCTAAAGTAGGTTTTTGTTTTTTTTTTCAGAAAAGTTCAAATTGCATTTCTAAGTAAGTATGTGATTTAAGCTAAATGACTAGATATACTAGTGAGATAATTGCTGAAGTGTTTACAAAGTTTTCAGATTTTGCAACCTATAGAGAGAAACCAAGAGCCACAAGCAGGTTCAGTTCAGAAGAAAAGATCCATACAACCAGAACAGCAGTTTTAGCTTTGGCAGTCTTTGCTTTTTTTAAAATTTATTTATTCATAGGATGAAGGTGTCATAGACAGTAAATGCAAGTGTAGCCAGCAATCCCTATAACCTGTGAGCAAATGTTTTTAAAAAGTAGATAAGGCTGGAAAAAGTCCAAAGCTTTTCCTAAATTTCCAGTCAGAAAAATCAGTGACTTAGCCTGTGTCTGCATCTCCTCTGCTCACAAGAATCTTGCTTTTTAGGTATTTTCTAACTAACCTGTTCAGAGATGTTATTATGTACTTCTGAAGCAGGTGGGACCTGAAACCAGGTCTCCTGGCTCAGAGGTAAGGAGCACTACCATTGTATCACAAGAGCCCTCATGTCTCATGCTTTTTGCCACCCTCCCAATAATCATTCATTTTTCTGTGCACTGTACCATTTACCCTTTCATGAAACAGTTTAAGACCTCCTGAGTTTGTAAATTGCGCCTAATTTGTCAGTTTCCACCTCTATCTATTAGCTCAGCTGGCTGGCCAGCTGGTTTGCGATGCACAGTGATACCAACAGCACAGGTTCAGTTCACACACTGACTGAGGTCACCATGAGCTACAGTGATAGGAGTGGCAGGTGCAGTCAAAATAGTTTAACACTCGAATGGGAATTTGAGGGTTTGGTGGACCACAACAGTTGCCATTGCACTGGGCTGTGGCACAATGGGTTAAGTGGAGCTGCTGTGCATTAGCAGTTTTGGATGAGCTCAGAAGAACATTGGAAAAGCCACCCCTTGAACAACAAAAGCATGGATGAGTGTTTCAGTAGCACATATATAGAGACAGGAGTAGAAATTAATAACATTACAGAGATGCCCCTAATTTGGCATCAACAAACTACCAAATGCTTGGAGATGGTTATTAGTTAACAAATCACTAAGATTACTGGGATAGAATACAAGATGCTTTTATCAGCAGTTTGGGAAAAGAAATAGCATTTTACTTCTTTGCGTGCTATGACTATCTCCTAACACTTGTAGCTACATTAACCGTGTCTTTGTGTGCCTTCATTGTAGCGCCTTCTCAAACACCCATCATGTTCTTTTCCATCAAAACAACGCAAATAACTACGTAAAAGACCTCTTTTAAATCCCCACGACATCCTGAACATTCACAAAATAATTCCTATCACTACAAAATGCTCAGTATTCAACTAGACTGCACTTGCACTTCCAAATGCTAGAACATTCAGGAAACTCAACAGTCAGAATTTGTTACACAGGAAAGATTCTGATTTGAGGTGGACAGTAGCAGAATGTCTTGTCCGCATTAACCAGTTGCCGGTTTGAACACTTAAATATAGAATCATGTCTTAAGAACTACAGTAACCTGCATTGGTCTATTTAAAGGAAGTAATTCAAGTGCCACCATGGTACTTCAAATGCCAGTATAATAGCAGAGTTGTAAATAGATCCTAGTTGTTTGAGTGTTGTTTACTTGTTGCAAGTAAGCAGTAATACAAAAAAAAACTGTTGTAGAATAGGAGCTGGTAGAAACTACACCCAAGCTAAAAGACTTTGAACTCCAACCATGCAAATACTTTGAACTCCAACTGTGTAAAATTTGACATGTGCTTTGACAAGAGTAATTTTATTGGTTTCATCTGCAAAGTGCTATCTATTGTCTTTTCTCTCCTTTCCCATTTTCTATTTCTGCTTTACTACAAGGAACTCATGCTCCTTTGACTTCAAAGGAAAGGATGCTTGCTGTGTGCAGAACAGATTTTGCTGACTATATTAAGAAAAAATTCCATCATTTCTAATTTTACATTCTTAACGAAGGTACACAATGCAAGTTCCTATTCAGACTGTGTAGATGCTCCCATTCAAAACTGTAAGCCTACATACGAGCTACTCAACAGATATTATGGATTAAAACAGTAGACTGGACAAGCTAACACACCATCACATTCTTGAAAAGGAACAGCCTGTTACACCGTTTTAATTAAACCAAATTTTTCTTAACTTTCTCGGCAGGGTAAATAAAGTAACTATTGTTACATACCAGTTGGGGCAAAACCTTCTCAAAATGGTCAAGGTCTGCTGTCCTAGAATCTTCATTAGATGCCTGTCTGGCAGTTCGTGCTGCTGCCTCTGGATGAGATACAAATTTCATGTTAAATTGTGTAGCAAATACATCATGCAAAATAAAAGACTTTGGAACTTTTATGGCATATCTATCAGTAAATTCCTTCCAAGAAACCCTTCTTTTTCTGTTGAGGAATGACATTTCCAATAATCGTTGACTTATGAAGAATCTCGACATGTTGCCTACAACACAGTCAATCAACAAATGGAATTTAGAGAACATATTTAGCATAGAAAAACAGCAAGGTATTTCACATAAATCAGACATTGACAAAGTGAAAAGAAATATGACAATTGACTGATGGTTAAAAACATAGGTACGAGAAATAGTTTAGGGAAGGTAATGCTGATATCCCTTAAGCTGCTTATAGATGTCAGGCATAACAAGAAAAGGAAGTGGACAATGCATAAGAAGCCAGCATTGGAGTGCCACAGTTCTCAAAAGATCACGAGGCCAGAACTAAAGTGATAGAAATGGCAGATGGCATCAAAATAGTTTCCCACTAGAATGGGAATTTAAGCAGAGTGCGGTGGACCACATCAGTAGCCATTGCACTGGGCTGTGGCATGATGGGTGAAGAGGTCCTGCTGTGCATTAGCAGTTTTGGATAAGTTCAGAAGAGCATTGGAAAAGCCAACCCTTGAGCAACAAAAGCACAGATGAGTGTTTCAGTACACATGTACAGAGGCAGGAGTGGAGACTAATGACATTACAGAGATGGAAGCAGTGGTGAAGATGATGTGCGGTCAAAACTGAACAGAAGTGTCATGGCTCTGAACAGTTTAATTCTGCCTGAAACAACGGTCTGGTTTTTGCAGCTCACAGCAAAGCAAGCTTGTCACCTCTTATCTTGAAAGTGTTTTGTTGAGATCTTTGCAATCTCAGTATGCAAGTGATTGTGGTATCATTTACTGGGAATTCTCACTGTTGAGTACCAGAGAGGTCACCAAGCTATCTAAGTACCCAATCAGGAAATGAAAAGCCCCTTCTTTTTTAGAATGAAAGATCGGAATAACGTTTTGTACACAGGATCACAACAGAAGCTGAAATATCAGAAGAAAGAATTTAGAAGTCTAGTTTATAAAAATCTAAATATTTATTAAGAAGGGAGACTTAACGACATTCACATCTGTTTCAGGAGTAGGTTGGTTGTTCAATGGTAGTAATTAATTAAATTGCCACTAAAAACCCAGTTGCAGGTCAATAAACAAGGTACAACTTAATTTTTCAGTTCATCCAGGAATGGTTATTTGACAACAGTGAGGTTAAATAGACCATTTCACTGTCTCAGTCAATTGCACCATCCTAAGGCAAGAGGGAACAGACTTAATTAGTATGCCCTCTCAGTCGGCTCTGCAAGGAGAGCCACTTTTTGGAGTAGCCACTTTTACTGCTATGCTAACCTCTCAAAATAGACAAAAAGGGAGTTTCATTTCTTCTTAAATATTGGGGATTAAAAATGGGTGAACTTGAATACTTCAGCCCTTAACTTCTCAGTTAGAACTGATTTCCTCACCTGAGTTGCCTTCATTAGGATTCTCCCTTCTTTTCTTTCCTGCCTTGCCTTTTTGTTCCTGGGTTTCTCTTTCCTTTTTTCTCTGTTGGAATTCCACTTCTAATCATTGCTGTTCCAGTTTTATCAGTTGTCAGTTTCCACCTTTACATATTAGCTCAGCTGGCTGGACGGCTGGTTTGCGATGCACAGTGACGCCAATAGTACAGATTCAGTTCACAAACAGGTTGAGGTCACCATGAACGTCCTGTCTTCTCAATCTTGCTCCTCGTCTGAGGCCTGGTGACCCTCAGATTAAACCACCGCCAGGATTCCCCCCCACCCCCCCCATTGATTGATAGAGCAGCCCTATGGTCTTCTGGGGCTATGGTGACTTTATTTATATCACCACCGATTTTTCAATCTCTGGTTTTCTAGCCTTCAGATGGAACCTCACCTGTGTGTCTAACTACCCCTTTTAATTTTTCCAAGAACAACGCTTTCATTTTTTCAAAGTTGTCTTTTTTCGCATTTTCATTTCTTAAACAAAAAAAACAGCTTTTCAAGGAACAATTTAATTTTTCTCTCCTTTAATTCTTTTATTCACTTGTGGGAACAATCACAATCATAGAGCCCCCAATTTTGTTATGACCAGGTCGTTGGGGGGAGGCAGGGAAATGAATTGGTTCCAGTCTTCTAAACCCTGGCATTAGCCACTAAGATTTTTAATTCTTTTAGTACACACCTAAATCAGACTTCAATTAAAAACTGGTACTAGTCAAAATGAAGGAGTCAATTATAAAGTTTTGAGTAAAAGAGGAACTTTTATTACTTAGCAACCCCAAGAAAAGTAATAAAACACATCAAATATGAACAAATGAAGGCATACAGTGTAAAAAGGGGAGAATGTATTACTAAAAGAAGGTTCAAGTACTGACATCATGAAATGTCTCGAATCAGGTGATGAAAGTCCAAAACTGGTAGTTCATTTTTATCATTGTATTAACACAGTGCAAGCAAAGTAGGATCTCTCCTCTGCATCCAATCTGTTTAATTGACTGAACATCTCTCAAAGTTGTATTCAAATCTCGAATTGTTAATTGTACTTGGTTTCTTTGTGTTTTACTAGCTTGTAGCTTATGTTAACTGGTGCTATATGTTCCAGTGTGTTTCTCGGTTGGAAAGAATGGTCTGTTTGTGCTGTACATTAGGATGGGATTTCTTAGTGTAATGAACACAAAGTCCAGTACATCTTATTATTTTATTGTACTGTATTACACACAGCCCATTAAATGATTCATCTTACATGCTTACCTATAACAAATATTTTCAGCATTTCAGACATAATGATGACAGCATCACTGCTGACTGTAAGTAAACACAAATACAATATTTAGTCCTTGATTATGAACCACACAGCCATTTCAAAGCACATTACAATTTCTATCCATGGAGTGTGCTCACTGCAAATGATTCATGTCTCTGACAGTAGAACAAATGTTTACCCACATTCTGACATCAAAATTCCAGGAACAGATATTGGTAACAGATGGACCACCAGGTAAAATATTGTCCAAAGGTGCTCACTCCCTATTCTCTCCAATTTCTGTTCAAAATATCTTTTGTTTTCTACAGCCATGGGAGGTCTGAATGAGTTTTCATCCAATGGAATACATTTTGTCGAATTTATTTTGTACTTGTACCTGCACTCAAAAAGGACTTTTTGTAACAATTAACTGCCAGACTGTACTCAGTGTACAACCTGCTCTGGATTTTACCATAAAAGGGAAGAAACATTGCACCAAATATATTTTTTCTGGCACATCAATTCAGATTACACACAAACATCCTGTTGAAGTCAGAGCTTGAACTTTTTCCCCTACAATGCCACACTACATTATTTTGGTGGACTTTAGCATCTTATCATTCTTGGAAATCGCTCTTTTACTACAGTGTGAAGAAAAAAAATCAGAGTTAACGTTTCAGGTCCAATGACCTTCCTAAGAACTACACTGCTCTGTGGAAGGGTCACCAGACCCGAAACATTAACTCTGATTTTTTTCTTCACAGACGCTGCCAGACCTGCTGAGCTTTTCCAGCAACTTCTGTTTTTGTTCCTGATTTACAGCATCCACAATTCTTTCAGTTTTTCCTTATATTACACTTGTTCATTTAACCATTGGAAAGACTAATTACTTTTGTTGGCTATCCCACTTTGATGCATTCAAAATAACATACCTTTGGTTTTCTGATCCTTAAAATAGAAGTACAGTAGTTTACTGACCAACTCCTGGAACAGAAAACAAAATGTTTTGCTGAGCAACACTATTATGAGTGTAATAGGCGAAGCCACTAAATAAATCTACACAATTCAGTTTTTACCCAGCTCAAATGTCTTTTTTTTCTTAAAAATAGCGATGTTGATGCATGGAAATTCAACACCAGCTGTTCTTTCCTATGTCCAGTTGGGCGTGAATCTCAAATGACTGAATTTGAGGTCCGATTTATGATGCAAGTCCCACAGCAATGGAAAATAATCAAGGCTGACCAAGACATTTTGATTGTGATCATGCAAGTTAACTTAGCAAGTAGGCAATGTGCAAGGCTATGAAGTCTTGTTAATAATCGAGCAATCCACAATAGGGCATGTGGTCTATTAAATAAAGTGAGCCAGCTTTACTTATAGCTGGTTTATGGACATAACCACAGCTTTTTTAGTCAATCTGATAAATATGCAAAAAGCACAGATACACTAACTACAGGTAATACTGCAAGCAGCCCGTGCGTTCATCTTTAGTATGAAAAAGCATAGCTTATTGCAAGAAAAAACTTCAACATGTAGCATAGCAATTTGACTTTAAAGGAAGAATTGAATCCAGAGTTGTCACGCAATTCAAATTTTGATCAAAGAAGTCATTCTACTGCCTTGCTTCAGAACAGCTGGTCTACACATATTTTACATTGAATTTCTCCCTTTCACAAAACGTGAATTCTAATTAGCAATCTTCTTCAGAATGCCACTTGCGGCAAATTCTGTAAAGATCATCTACTCTCAAATTGATCCAACTGGAGCTATTGTGTATAAAACATGAAAACACCTGCAGTTTCAAAATCAAACACCTAAGTCAGTTACAACTGATCAAACACAGAAGCAAACTAACATTCATTTCAAATAGGATGCTTTAAGCACAGGAAACACATTTTGCCATTAATATGCTTTAGCACAGTACAATATTTTTAAAAATGGGCATATGGAAGTAAAACTGCACAAGAAAATGCAAAAAGAGTGAATTTGTTTACTTTAGAAAAATAAATATTACTTCATTCACGTAGTGACAGTTCAATGTTGATTTAAGTTGAGACTTCACAGTACAATGAAATGAATGGAACGAAAAAAAAAAGTGATTTTGAAGAATGGAAACACTACAACTATTTTGTGGATTAATGAAAGGCTATTCCTGCATATCATTCAACACAAAACTGCAAAATGATCAATTGGGATTCCCAAACTTTAGGAATTTAAGAGGGTGGAATGCTACTGGTACCATAAGTGTTTTGAGAGTTTCCCATAGGAAGTCATGACGGACAGTGAGTAGTCAGCTTGAGTGGACTTGAAACCTCTCTCCTTGCCTTACTATGGTGGAGATTGTGTTTTGTTCATTGAATTTAAGAAAGAACCGTGAAAGATGAATGTCTCCATTGAAGTAAGGTTGTTCAGTGAAATTTGAGTAGTCGCATAACAGTCATATTGCCAGAATAAAAAAGTTGAAAATTTATTACAAGTGGGAATTCAGTGGAGACGTGGAAAGATGTGCTTTTTTTTAACCTGTAATACTTGTTGTGGTTTGTGTTATACTTTAAAAAAAATTTCATCTACCTCTAACTTCAACTAAATCAATAATTAGTTAAAATTCTAGAAACTAAATCCAAGTTGATGATATGCATGGACTAATCAATTCAATAAAACACAGAGATGGCAGCACAAGTGGTGTGTCACAAGTGCAATATATGGGAGTTTGTGGAGAGCACTGTGATTCCTAGATAGCCCCATCAATAATAAGTGTCGATATCTTGAGGAAATTTAGCTCAGAATTGATGAACTAGAGTCTGTCTGCTACCTCACCTTTGGTGGTCTACATTGCCCTTCATGAGCTTTGCTTGTAAATTAATCAATTGGAAAACACGGGTGATTTACTGGTGGTGGTTAATAAATTAAAAATACTACAGATGATTTGGTGATGGAAGAAAACATTCAATTGTGTATAAGAGCACTTCTGGATAGAAAAAGACTAAATAGGTTTAATTGCGCTCTCTCCTCACCTTTCCCTCACTTTGGTTTCATTGCAATGCCCTCATGAATTTTGCAAACAAGTTGGTAATCAATTCAGAAACACGTGATTTAATGACGGAGGATAAAGTAGTAAAGTAACATAGGCGATTTGGTGGTGAAAGAAACTAACATTCAGTGATGTGTAATAGCATCTCTAAATATTTAAAAAGAAACACTGTATAGGCAGGGTCTTTGTGGCACTACGGTACTGTGCCAACCTCTGAGCCAGGAGACTCTGATTCAGAAAGAAAAAAAATGACCTGTAAATGGAGGTGCAGACATTTTGGGCAAAAGGAAAGTTAACAAGACATGTTAACCCAGGCAGTATCAGACATTCATAATTAGGAAGCACTGCGGGTCTGGTTAACAGTCAGGGACGGGAAGATATGACCACAAGTCAGATGGCGAAGGGGACATCTGGAGATGGCCTTTGCTGTTATCCAACAGGTATGAGTTTCCCGGTGCTCGTGTGCATGGTGCGAAAATTCCAAAGGTAAACTCTCCATAATTTATAGAATTGGGAAGGGTGAAAAGAATGAGACAGGGTAGATGCTGTTCTCTGCAGTACCCTGCTGAAACAGATAGTTAGGGCTTTAATTAATAAAGCAGGACAGGGCAGAAGGTTCAAGTGAAGAGAAATTTATAAATTTATGCAGAAAAGTCAAGGCCATAGAATAACATCATATTTGGTTCAAGATAAGCAGTGTGAAAAGGAAGCACAAAGTTGAAGTAATAGTACAATGAAAAGCCAAATCAGGAAATAATGGTTAGAAAGTTAAAATCAAAGGCGCTTTGTCTGAATGCACAAAACATTCATAACCAGACCAATTGATTGCACAAACTACGGTTTGTTCTAATAACTATTACAGAGTACTTTCACGGTAAACAAGACCTGTCGAATTTCCTCCATCCAACTGATAAATTTGTATAAACCCGAGCAGAATTAACTGGAGCGCAGTTGCACTGTAGTCCCTGGATATGCATTACATAGGGGCAAATCTGATGGTCTGCTCATGTTACACTATCTATAGTTTGCATACCGAGGCCCACAAAGTACAATCAAGCAGCGTCCTTCCATTAGTTCTAAGCTTTCTGAACACTGGCAGACAACCAGTATTTCACCATCTTTCAAATTCCGACTGCCTTTGTGTTGTTAGATTGTTTATCGGACATCTGATTGTGCATTAGCCAAAAAATTCCAAGTTAAATATGACGGCCATTGTTTTATCCTCTCACAAACATCAGCTGCCATTTCCATCCCTAGTTACTACCTCAGGTTGAACTAAATTTTCCAGCACAGCAGGAATGAATTTATCTTTCCACTCTACGCATGAACGTCTACCAAAGCCTCTCAACTTACACCTTCATAACATTATCCAAATTAACTTCAGCCACTTTCCCTCTTCCGGCTGAGGATTTTACTTTTCAAAGAATTTTTTCCGGTATATGTAAAATGGAAATTCTGAAATTGAAGTTTGTGTCACATATAGATAGGGTGGTTAAGAAGGTCCTGAAGAATCCCAACCCAAAATGTCAAATCTCCTGCTCTTCTGATGCTGCCTGACCTGCTGTGTTCCTCCAGCTCCACACTGTATTGGTTAAGGTGTTTAACACGCTTGCCTTCATTGCTCAGACCTTTGTGAATAGGAGTTGGCACATTATGTTGAGGTTGTACAGAATGTTGGTGAGGCCTCTTCTGGAGTACTGTGTCCATTTCTGGTCGCCCTGTTATAGGAAGGATATTATGAAGCTAGAGAGGGTTCAGAAAAGATTTAACAGGATGTTGCTGGGAATGGAAGGTTTGAGTTATGAGAGGCTGAATAAGCTGGGAATTTTTTCACTGGAGTATAGGAGGTTAAGGGATGACTTATAGAGGTTTATAAAATCATGAGGGGTATAGAGGAGGTGAATTGCAGGTGTATTTTTCTTAGGATGGGGGATTTCAAGACCTGGGGCATATTTTTAGGGTGATAGGAGGAAGATTTTAAAAAAGACACAAGGGGCAACTTTTTTTTTTTTTTTTAAAAACAGTGGTTTATGTGTGGAATGAACTTTCAAAGGAAGTGGTGGATGCAGGTACAGTTACAACATTTAAAATGTATTTGGATAAATACATGAATAAGAAATATTTGGAGGAATATGACCCAAGTGCAGGCAGGTGGAACTAGTTTCGTTTGGGATTATGGTCAAAATGGACCGAAGGCTCTGTTTCCATGCTGTATGACTATGATATCCAGCATCAATAGGTCCGAGTTTGATGCAGACTCAATGGACTGAATGGCCTCTGTCTGATTGTATAAGATGCTCATGTTAGAAAGCTGAGGGCCATTTAGTCATCAGACATTCCACTCCAATCCCTGAAATAAAACAGAGAACTGCAAGTGCTGGAGACCTGAAATGAAAGCAGCAATTGTTAAAGAAACTCAGCAGGACTGACAGCACCTGTGGGAAGAAAACAGAGACTACTGAGTCGGTAGTCAGGAAGGCAAATGCAATGTTGGCATTTATTTTGAGAGGACTTGAATATAAAAGCAGGGATATACACTACTGAGGCTTTGTAAGGCTCTGGTCAGGCCACATTTGGAGTATTGTGCGCAGTTTTGGGCCCCATATCTCAGGAAGGATGTACTAGCTCTGGAGCAGGTTCAGAGGAGGTTCACGAGAATTTTCCATTCCTGGGACCACTTAACATATGAGGAATGTTTGAGGACTCTGGGACTATACTCATTGGAGTTTAGAAGGACGAGCGGGGGATCTAATTGAAATTTTCAGAAAACTGAATGGCCTGGACAAAGTGGATGTTGGGAAGATGCTTCCATTGGTAAGAGAGTCGAGGACCCGAAGGCACTGCCTTAGAGTAAAGGGAAGATGTTTTAGAACAGAGATAAGGAGAAACTTCTTCAGCCAGAGAGTGGTGAATCTATGGAATTCACTGCCACAGAAGGCTGTGGAGGCCAGGTCATTGAATACATTTAAGACGGAGATAGATAGGTTCTCAATTATCAAGGGTTACAGGGAGAAAGCAGGAGAATGGGGTTGAGGAACTTATCAGCCATGATTGAATGGCAGAGCAGACTCGATGGGCCGAATGGCCTAATTTCTGCTCCTCTGTCTTATGGTGTTAAACTTTCGAGTCCGGTGACTCTTCATCAGAACTCCAACCCGTCAGTCCATCAAGCCGAGTTTCTCCAAAACCTCCCATACCCTTGCCCAGCCCTTGTATTTATCATAACAAAAACAAAGCGACATGGCTCTCTAGGTCTCACCTGCACATACCATTAGTGTTCAACTGATGCTTATTTCAGCATCACTACACAATCAGCTGAAAAATGAATCTTTGGGCGATAAAGGCTCGATCAGATCACATCGAACTAGATTCAAAAAAACTAGTTTGACCGGTACAAACCGTTCAATCTGCACGCGTGGAACGTGAAATTTCACGACCAGATTTATTTGGGTGGAGAAAAAAAACCCCAAAAAACTGCAGAATCAGAAATAAAAACAGAAATTGCTGGGAAAACTCGCCGGGCCTAGCAGTTCTGAGGAAGGGTCACTGGTCTCGACACGTTAACTCTTCTTTCTCTCCACAGAACCTGCCTGGCCTGCTGAGTTTCTCCAGCAATTTCTGTTTTTGTTTCGGACTTATTTGTAATTAGAGTGGTTTGATAGAGTCCGTGCTATTAGCGACAGCGGCTCGACGAACTTACTTTCTTGAACTTGGCGCCCTCTCCTCTCTCCATCCTGCACCACAAACACACCCCTCCCGCCTTCCCACTAACGACATCTGAGCCCACCTCCTCCCACACACTATTGGTCCGCTTCCTTTATGACGTCACAGGGCGCCATCATCCCCGCCTTCATTGGTCAGTTCCGCCATCAATCATCAGCCCGCCCGCCTGGAGAGATGTGGGGGAGGGGGAAACACCTGACAAACGGATTAAACAAAAAAAATTGATCGGTGAACATAACTGGGTAAAATCGTTGACAATCCTCATATTATCTCTTGAGTATGAGTGCACATACTTGATTTTTTTTGTGTGTGTGGAATTAGGTAAGACTATCGTCACAAATCCCACCGCACTGCCCTCCACCAACTGCCCTCAGCGGGTCTGCGTCTGGGACGGTGGGGGGGAGGGGCTCGCGATAGCTCCACCCCTCCCTTCCCGCCTTCGCGGCCGCCGATTGGTCCGAGCGCTGGTGGCGTGAGGCTGCGGCCGACGTCACGGAGCGCGAGCGGCGGCTTCCAGTGAATTGCTGCGCTCGAGCGTCTCGGCCCTCCTCAGGTAGTGGCTCCCGGCGGCCGGACAGTGGCAACAACAACAACAACAACAACAACAACAACAACAACAGTAGCGATGATTAAAAATGGTGTGGCTTCCAGCGACAACTGTTCCCCGGAGAAGAGGAGGAGGACGGTTCGGGTCTGGTGCGATGGCTGGTGAGTGGAAGTGAGGAGTCGCGTCCTCTTCCCTTTAGCTGTCGCTGCCACCCGGCATCTTGCTTTTAAATTTTATCGTTGGGACAACATGCGGCCTCCCGGTTCCTGTTATTTAATTCATTCTCCTCTGTCGGGTAACAAGAAGTCCCCACCCTTGTTACTTAATTTTGGGGTTTTTTTATGGCGCGGTAACGAGAGACCTCCTCATTCCCCGGCCCTTGTGATTTAATTCACCTTCTCCATCAAACGCCACCCTCTCCTGTTAAAGGCTGCTCGGCTCGCTCCCTCGACGCTCTCTTCCCCCTCCCCGGACTCGCTTGTCAGTCGCAGCGGGGAAAAGGGAAGGAGTAAGTTTCCTGCTGTCACATCGTTGGACTCTTGTTTTCAACGTTCACTCCAAATGAAGCGTGCACCAACCCTTGTATTTGCTGATCTAAGGCAAGGCCTGTGAGGGATCTTATCGATTGTGATGTCTCTGTGGTAACCGAGTCCTGGCTTCCCTTGTGTTTTGATGAATTGCATTGGCATTCGTTCACTTTCACTCAGAAATACTACAACCCACGCACAAACACGCCAAGAGTTTGAGGCGAGTGACCGCGGGTCCATTTAAGGGGAATCTAGATACTCAGACGAGTGAAAGGTGCCGAGGGATGAGCTGCTGGGCTTAAATCGAGTTGGGGGTTGGGGGGGTGGTCGCCGAAGAGGGACAGATGGTCCGAATGATCATGCTACAAAACAGGCTGTAATATAACTGGCATAACTTGCGTTGCAGACTGAATTACGCACCTCTGCCCCTCTCTCTTGCCCTTGACCCATGCCTGTCGTTGTGCTAAAAATTATGTTGTCCTCGAGTCACGGTGACATTTCAGAGAGTTGGTTTTATTTTGCAGAGGGTGATGGGTTTCTTTATTGTATTTTGTTGGTAGCTGAACTGGGTTCACAATGACTTGCTGGGGTGGGTGGAGGCAGTTACTGTACAAGATAACTTGCTGACGTGTGCTTGTCTTCCTCCTCTTTCCCCCCCCCCCTTTCCATCTCTATTTTCTCAGTCTTTGATTTTAATTTTAGTTAAGTGTTGTAATTGGGGAAAAAAATTGCATCAGTAATATTGTGCAATTAAGTGCTTCTGAAACTTAAGTGGGTTTAGAGAACCCCTGAAACACAAACACAAATTGCTGGCATTCCACAGTTTCTGATTTCCAGCATCCACCGTTCTTTCGGTTTTTATTTAGAGAATCTCATGCTGGATTATACCAATAAATTTTGTGACTTCCATCTCCATTTCTTTTTAACTGGTGTGAATTTAATTTTGTATTTCCTGCTTATTTTTGCTGTTTTTCTCTTTCACCTGTTTAATTCTTAATTGTTTAAACTCACTTCAGAGTGCACCTTCATGACAAGGGATGACAATGAGTGTCAGAGGGTATGCAAACCCTGATACTTTTAAAATGATTTGCTGCACAGTGAACAGATGTGGGAATTCTGATGTATTTCTCCATAAACAAGAGAACATTTAAATCTGTTTTAGTGTTTTGCCCTCACCCACTGAGATTAGCTTACACAAGCCTAGAATTGTATGTTTGAATTTGTTGGTTTGATGTGTTGAGCTGTTGACAGAACCTGGTATTCTAGCTTGAAATAATTATGCTATTAAAGTAATGGTTAATGTGCGTGGACAACATGACAATATTATTTCAATTTTTTAAAACAGCCTCAACCAAAAGTCAGTTACCTTTAGAATATGTTTGAGATGAGCTTTGATAAATACTGTCTACATTTGGTGCATATGGTGATACAGATTTCGAAATCGACATCTATGTGCATCATTGGTTTGCAGGAAACTAAAGGAATTTGATCAACTTGAAAGGAACTTCAATTTTTTTTAATCTGAAACAGTTTCTTTGATTCAAATAACTCATTTTAGTCATTGTAAGACAAAAGATATTGTGTCTCATTAAACCTACAAGTTGAGAAAGCATTCAAGTCGGTGAGGAAACTAACAAGACAAACATATATATGTTAGTTGCCTACAACTTTTGAGACGAGTTGAAACAGATCAAGACAGCCTTGATTGTCACTGAATGACGAGTTTTCTTGACACTTTTACATAACCTGTTTTTGCTTTTGAAAAGTTTAAAAAATACTGGTCCATATTAGAGAGAGATGGCAAGAACTGCAAATGTTGGAGTCAGAGACAACACAGTGTCGAGCTGGAGGAACACAGCAGGTCATGCAGCGTCAGAGGAGCAGGAAAGTTGACGTTTTGGGTCGGGTCCCTCCTACAAGAATTATGTTGTGAAACTAGAAAGTGTTCAGAAAATATTTGAGGATTTTGCCAGAGCTGGAGGGTTTGAGCTATAAGGAGAGGCTGAATAGGCTGGGGCCATTTTCCCTGAAGTGTCAGAGGCTGATGGGTGGACTTTGTACAAAGTCATAGCATCAGTTTAACCAGTGGTTGTCTAACTGTATTGGCTTGTCTTTCAAGGTATCCTAAATGTAACAGAATTTTAATTTGTATGTTTAATATAGATGTAGCCACAGGCATGAATCCAGGTTGGTATGTTTGTTCCCTCATGCCAAGTTCAAGGATGTCCGTGAGGACAAAATGCCATGAGGAGGTGATCCCAAACAGTATGAACATCGTGGGTAGGAATGGAGATGTAGTTCTGCAGGCAGAATTTGGGAGCAAGGTAGGTAATTAGCCTCTACAAAAGTAGTGGTGTAAAGGTTACCTCCTGCAGGAAAACCAAGTGAGTACAGTATTCAACTAGGAGAATTTAGCACATTAATTGATAGCTGAATATATAGTGCAGGAGAAGGAGTGAAGAGTGGGGATATTATGAATTTTGAGACATTTAGAATTAGTGTTGGGGAATATGGGGCCTATATTGATTGATTGATTGGGTGACATCTAAACAGAGCCAGATTTCCAGGAGGAATTTGGTAAGATGTCACAGCAAAGGTTATTGCAGAAAATAAAAGCCTCTGTGTATGGGGCAGCATATTGACATGGATAAAAGATTGGCCTGCTAATATGACACCAGGTTATAGTCCAGCAGGCTTATTTGAAGACACAAGCTTGAGGAGTGACTGACACCTGAAGAAAGAGCGAGACTCTGAAAGCTTGTGTCTTCAAATAAACCTGTTGGACTATAACCTGGTGTCGTGTGATTTTTGACCTTCTCCACCACAATCCAACACCAGCACCTCCACATCAGGCCTACTAATAGGAAGCAGAGTCATAAATGGGTCACTTTTTGGTTGGCAAGATGAAACAAGTGGTGATTAGAATTAGAATCCCTACAGTGTGGAAACAGGCCCTTTGGCCCAACAAGTCCACACTGACCCTCGGAGCACCCGACGCAAACGCATCCTCCATAACCCACCTAATCTACACATCCCTGAACACAATGGACAATTTAGCACGGCCAATCCACCTAGCCTGCACATCTTTGGACTGTGGGAGGAAACGGGAGTACCTGGAGGAAACCCATGCAAACACGAGGAGAATGTGCAAACTCCACACAGACAGTCGCCCGCGGGCGGAATCGAACCCGGGTCCCTGGCTCTGTGAGGCAGCAGTGCTAGCCACTGAGCTACTGTGCCATCCTAATTTGTCGCTAGAAAGCTACCGACTTGGTCGGGGATCAGTGCTGAATTCCCCAGCTGTCACAACTTACAATTTGAAGAGACTGAAGGTATGGTTGGAAAAAAAATTACTATATCACAAAGATAGGTAAGAAAGTCAATTGTTAAGAGGACATGTGGCTCCAAAACGATGGAAATGGGCTAAGCAAATGGATGTAGATTTGGAATATGGAGCACAATGTGGGAAAATATGGTGTTGTCCATTTTGGCAGGAATTGTTTAAACAGCATATAATCTAAATGGTGAGAGATAGCAGAGCTCTGAGATGCAGAGAGAACTAGATGTCCTAGTCCACGAATCTCTGTAGCATGGAGGTATAGCAAATAATTAGAAAAGCTGGTAAAATGTTCCTGTTTATTGCAAGGGGAATATGAAAGTAGAGAGGTTATACTTCAGTTATACAAGGCACTTGTGAGACATCTCTGGAATACTGTGTACAGTATTGGTCACCATTTAAATAAGGAGGCAAAAGCATTGGAAACAGTTCAGAAAAAAGTTTACTAGACTAGTACTTGGAAAGGACAGGTTGCCTTACAACAAAACAGTATATAGGCTAGGCTTACTGTTTAGAGTCTAGAAGAGTTAAGAGACAACTTGATTAAAATACATCAGATCCTACAGTAGATGTGGACAGGACATGTTTTCTTGTGAGATAATACAGAACTAGAATCACTGTTTAAATCTAAGAGATCACTCATTTAAAACAAATGAAATTGTTTCCGAGGGACGTGAGTCTTTGGAAGCCTCTCCCTGAAAAGGCAGTGGAAACAGCCTTCAAATGTTTTGTAGACAGAGGTAAATAGATTCTTTGTAAGCAAAAACCTTTGCTATCCAAGGAA